AAAGCCGTGAAGTTTAACCATTTTTCGGTTTCAGTCTGTAAATTTCCGAATATCCAAAGCCAAAATAGGCCGACAGCGCATCTTGTTTAGTTGCTAAAGGCTGGGGTATATCACATACTATCAGGTGAACCACATGCCATATTGCTACGTGTGATATTTACTCAAAAAATCACCAGTTATAATTAAGCAGTATTTCTAAAATCCCTCACTATTTGTTCATTAGTACGTTGTTTACCTCATTGCCATTCTTGTTTATAAATTACGGCACACACGAAAACACACAGGTTGGTTAATTTAATTAACAGATTCCATGTTCTCAGACTAATTGCGCGCGTTTGCGATATACTCGTAACTGTTCCTAAATATATTTGCACGACACCCGCTCTCGATTCTAGCACATGTGTTGACTGTCGTAACATAAATATCCTTCATTACAGCCTATACTTAACTGAAATGTATGTGAAAGTTCAGTATAATACTGCCCCTCTTAGCCTGCATACACATTGAGTTTATGATTGGTTGCCGCAGCCATAATCTTATCGCACTTTGATAAAGTGGAATTATTTATAGTTCTTGTTTTACTGCGATCGATATATAACTTGTGAATAAAGGTGCATTGCGCAAGTATAATCTTTTCACATGAGTATAAAGAAATATAACTATAACTTAACGTTCATTAGAAGCTTTTTGTGGTGATATCGTAACTGAGAAATATTCCAACGTCTAACAAAGTATATTCAATAGCGAAGTGGAGGTGCAACATGGTGGATTATAGTGTTTATTACTAAACATAAAAATAAAGGATAAAATGGAACGAATGGCTTCAACGCGGCGAGCCTTTTACGTCCAACACAAGTTGCCATAACGTGGCATGTTTCCGTCTTCGAGCAATGACCAGCATGTCTACTTCATCGCCGAAGTCGTCTCCCGCTTGTAGCGAGCAGGGACAACGTAAATCAATTTTCTATGTGCCATTGTTCGAGAGTTTTGACAATTACCTACCTCTGAGTGCCGAGGAAAGGGAAGCCATTATAACCGGCCTGAGGTCAGACGATGTACCAGTGAAACCAAAACGTAAATATGCCTCTGATCGAGCAAAACTTAGAATGGTATCTCGTGGTGATTCGTCATTGACAGAAAGTGAAAGCGAAGTCAGTGTGTTTAGCCCAGCGAGACGATATCGAAGACCTTTATCGTCGACAGCTAGTTCCAATGAGGCGCTTCCCAGAGTAGGTCATCGCGATCTCACGAGCCCTAGACTAGTAGCGGAAAGTGATCTCATAAACCATTCTAAACCGAGACTGCGAAGTACCACTTCATGTGAACCACGCTATGATAGAGTTTATCAACCTTTAGGTGCGTCAATATCGGCTAACAAACTCAATAATTCCACCGTCAACTTACCGTACAAGTTGCCGTCGAAAACCAATATAAGGAATTCTAATTTGTCCTTAATAGCGGATTCGCCTAAACTGAACACTTCACAGAATGAAAAATCTAAAACATTACCTCAAAATTTAAACAGCCCGTCACCGATAAGAGGTACTAGCAGTAGCACGTCCATATTTAAAAACCCTAAAATCACTATAACACCCGAGAGTCCGAATAAAAGTACTGGTAAAATATCTGGACTGAATTTTATACGACGATCTCGTAGTACAAAGCTCTCTAGAAGTAACTCGCTATTACGAAGCATCACTGCCAAGAATGTGGAAGAAGGTTTAGAAACAACACCAATAATTACTAATTTATTTGATAATTACGATAAGTTCATTGATGATAACGGTGGTGAAAAAGAAGTTATATGTGCCCTTATAAAAAAGAACGAAGAACAAGTGGCTACAAGTCCGTTAAGCATCCGGAGAGGGTATCTTGATATTGACGACGAAGTAGCTGTTCATTCTGGTGAGTTTTAGGAAGAATTGCTTTTTAAGTTAGTACATATCCATTTCAGAATTCTATTCTTTTTAAATTAACTGTAATATATGTTATAGTCTTTATTACCTAACGGCTTTGTACAAGTAACTTATGTCGATATACCATTATATGGTTATTTAACTTCATTATTATAAACTAACTTAGGATTGTAAACTTAAACACTATTTAATTAAGATTCAAAATATAGTTACATAAAAAAGTAGTTCATTACTTTTTGTCAATTCTGCATTTTAAAATACCGTTATTATTGTTTTATATTCGCTACGCTTTTCTTTTCATGTTACCGTATGTTGTGCTCGTTTATAACATAACAGATAATGGAGTATAACTCTTTGTTATTTTTGTTGCTTGTTTTGAAACAGCGTTAATTGAGCGTTTTCTTATCGTTCCATATTATGGTCTCCACTTCCTCGTGGGCGCTTATCAGTCGCGTTATCAAAGTAAGGCGTGATTGCACAAACATATGTGTTATATGTGTATTCTTATGTTTTATATGTTTGAGTTATTATTTGTTATTGTTACTTAATTTAAGAAAAGTTTTGAAGTTTGTACGCACTACGGTGTCTTCTAACCAATCATCTTTTAACCAATTTTGTATAAGAGAGTTAATTCCTTTTAATAACTTATATTTTAGCTCGACTTGGTGTTTCGGGGTTTGGGGGAAACACTTTAAGCTTTTATATTCTCTTCGGACCTTTCTTTATTATTCTTTTGTGTGGTACTTGAAGATAAGTATTTTATTATTACATTTAGTTTCTTATTGAATACGGATTTATGTTATATTTGTAGTTAAACCACCGTTCTTAATTAAGTTCTTAGAAACATAAACAAGAAAAGTAATTTAATGATCGTGCATTCCTGGAGCCACGGCCGGGTTCCGCGTAGTCCGGCGACTTGCAATAACTACGCTGCAAGTGACTCACTTGCACAAACGAGGAAGTGTATTGCTTGTAGGTGATTGACCTTTAATTATGTCAAAATTTAATTAATATTATGCCATTTACCTTCAGAAGGCTCGTGTCTAGAAGGATGGTAACTGCTGAGGTCTGATCTTATATTATTAAAATAAATGTACGGTTGGGCAAAAATATTGTATGTTTTTGCCCAACCATACATCTATAAATTTAAATAAAACACTTAAACGGTTTTTAACGCGATATATATTAGCTAAACTTATTTGAACATAGTTTTTAACTACGACCCGACGTACGTGAGTCTCCCCGTGACCACGGCTGCTGCAAAACATCCGAAACGTCGAATGTCGAATAATTTTCAAATAAGTTTAACTAATATATGTATATCATTATCGCGTTTAAACCGTCAGAGTGTTTTATGTAAATGTGTACTATTTGAGTAAACTACAGACACCATACATCTGTAAAATAAAGAAAATCAAGCAGATATTTACTACAAAATAACAGATTTAAAATCCATTGGCAGTAATTATTTTTGTCATTCTTAATTGTCACTGTAATAACTACATACAACGAAATAAAACCAAAATCACAATCAAAACCTTTATCAACTTTCCGTGCTTTTTCCCAACGTTTTTGTATTCGCTCGCCTGAGATATTATTTTCTTCAGAAAAAATATAATGACTTGCCAAGTCCGGAGCTTACCTTAGTTCCTTTGAAATTAAAAAATTCGTTTCATAGCACGTTAACTTTCTCTCACATTATTATTCTGTGGTAGTTTCAAGTTGTTTAGTTATCAACATTTTAATTGCAAATGATTGATTTAATTAGTTATATTTTCCTAACATATAACCATATTTCAACGCGTTGTCAACCCCATAACGCATAAGCGATGCCGTAGCGGTAATGGCTTGGAAACAACATCTGCTGGCTCACATGGTGCCAACAAGGCATCTATAAGGCGATTGTCAACCGCCAAGCCAAGTGTAACTTGTACAGTACAAGCTACACTTGGCTCGCTGTCTTATAATAATTAACTCATCTATCTTAGCTCATTAGAAAATATAGAACATAATGTTATTAGCATAATTGTCTTAATTATATTATTAAATAAATAATTTAATTTATTAAATATTTAACAATGATAGCCAAATTGTCGTGATTTTAATCACATTACACAGGCTTTAAAAATGTATATTTTGCAAGACATACATTTATTTCAAGCGCCAACAACACTGTATATATTATTTTTAAAAAGTATGTATATCGTGAATATTATGATCAATGATTATCTAATTACATTTCGTCAAGTTTACAAGTTTGAAATTTTAATTCTAATGCTAAAAATTGGGTTCATGCTGTAGTATGCTAAAATTTTTATACCCTTTTAATTATCGGATTACTATAAACAAAATGTACTCGTATGTAAATGCTTACAACGCATGTCGCGGTCACGGGCGTCGTGCGCGCGCGCAACATCCTGCGGAAACCACGCGTAGCCAACTCCTATCGCTGTGTCGGCGATATTACATACTTGTGTTTTGATTACATTGCTTTCGAAATGCGACACTGTACGAGCGTAGTACACAAGCGATATAGTATAATAAAAATAATATTTTTTTTAATTACAATGCCCTTACAATTAAGTTGACTATTCCGAACAAAGATTGGAAGTTTAAAAATAGAACTAATGTTATAAATGACTTTTCCTTTTTAGATAGTAACTAGGAAATCATGGGGAGATTAATTGTGATATCATCTTTTATCTCTCCGAGATTAACTTGGCAATTTTTGATTCAGTCATAAACGCGACCTGGGATCACGTTTCACTATGAAGTGAAATTTGTTCCGATAGCTTATCAACGCAACGTCTTATACGTATAGTATGTTCTTACCTTAACATAATATCAATTCAGTCGATTGCGTGATTGTCGCATTCACGGTCATTTGAAGCGAGCGTCTTGTAATCGGTCTCAATTGAGTGTTTTTAATATGCGATTCTTCCTTGATTCGCTGTCCTGTTTAAGTATAGCTATTTACTATTATTCGGTTCCGTATATATATACGTTTTAGTGCAATTTGAGGATCAGAAACAAGGCCTTACTAATAATTATTTTCCTTGTCCACAGACACATCATATGAAAAGGCATGCCGCCGAGGATCAGCTCCAAGTACGCCGATACCAGGAGTGCAGGCACAACACAGTCCGTCAAGATTGGCTTCCTTCTTCTTCTCAAAGAGATCCTTCAGAAGTAATCCACTCAAGCGGACTAAGTCAGCAATCAAGTTAGAGCCGCCAAAGGACAGGGTGCTGGCTGCACCACCAACACATCCTGCTACACATGCGCTAAGAACATCAAGGTAATTAATTTACTCATTGGATAAAAAACTAAGTTCTCAAATCGTCGATTGACTTAATTACTTGGTTGATGTACTTTAACAATATGATTAAAATATAGATTAAAAGACACTGATCAGAATAGGATTTTTAACACCCATATGTTATAAATTAGTAAACATCTAATCTTAAAATGTTGTATCTTGTCCTCTCTTTTCACAAAAAAGAGGACGAATTGATTTTATTTCAAGAACGGACAACAAATTGATTTTTAATTGCCAACAACATCCACATATATGCACTTTGATTTATTAAAATAATATAAAAATATCAACATTTATCATTAAATTAGGTCTTTAAGCTAAGATAACCTTGAGGAAGCAAATTTTACTTTTATGTTGTTTTAAATTGAATTTACCTACCTCGGAAAATTTAAAAGTTGACAATTGATATAACTTCCTTTTAAAGGGTTATTTATACCCGTATTTTTTGTAAAATTCGTGCCTGGTAAATGCAATTTTATCAGGCCAACCCTTTTATTCAAAAGAAAATAAAAGCCGTTTTAGTATTCCGAGACAGTCTGTGCCTCAAAAGACCCAAATGCTTGCTTCGTACGAGCGTGCCTTTTGTTAAATTGGTATTGATTTTGTCTGTCTGCAGCTCGCGGTTTTATTACTTGGGGAATTTTTCACAATAAAAGTAACGCTGAACATCGCTTAAGGAATAAAGAGAATATACGAACTGTTTTCATTATTGATTTCTTATAGTCTTCCTAACATAGGCATTGAAAGGAGAAGTGATCCTACAGTATGGTACTTCGTAAGAGAAAAGATGTGCATATTTTGAATAGTATAGTATAGTTTACGCGAGTAGTACACATTTAAATAAAACACTTTAACGGTTTAAAACGCGATATATTAGTTAAACGTATTTATCAGTCTCCCCGTGACCACGACTGCTGCAAAGTATCCGAAACGTCGGGCCGAAGTTAAAAATCATTTTCAAATAAGTTTAACTAATATATCGCGTTTTAAACCGTTAAAGTGTTTTATTTAAATATTTTAACTTGCTTCATTATTATGCACTAAACAGTAGAAGTAATAATTAGAGTATGTCGTGACTCTACCGTATTATTAGGTAGGTGTCGTAACTTCATTAAGGAGTGTTGCCACGCCCTCGTTAGTGTTCATTCATTATGTCTTTTTATTGCTATTACAAAGAGAAACACAATTACCATATAAAATTATATACTTAGGTAATCTTTGAGTTGTGATTAATAAATTGTTTCACGGCTGAGATCTAAACTTGGCCTGTACCCCAAGTGAATTATGTGTTTAGTTTGATTGGAAGATTTTGTCTTGGCTCCATAAAACCTAAATAAATCACGATGCATTTTTTATTACAACATGGTTGTTACTTAATTGCAGTTTTTTTGTAAAGCTGATAAACAATATATTTTTAAAGAAAACACTTTAACGGTTTAAAACGCGATTTATATTAATTAAAATGTATTGAAAAAATATTTTTAACTACGGCCCGACGTTTCGGATGCTTTATAGAAGCCGTGGTCACGGGTAACGACGGGCCGCAGTTTAAAATTTCAAATAAGTTTAACTAATAAATATCGCGGTTTAAACCGTTAAAGTGTTTTATTTAACTGTGTACTACTGGCGTAAACTACAGACAGTATTTAACATATTTTGTTCATTTCATTTCAGATCTCATGAAAGTTTACTATCAGCACATTCACCCGCAGTTTCTACGATGGATTTGGGACCTCCAAATCAAGTAAGATCAATTTTTAGATTTCTTTGTCCCGTTTCCTATTTTACATACGAAAATATGTCTTATACCGCTGCAATGTGGTTACGTATTGATTCACATTACTAATATTCAATTAGTACTTGTATTATATCTAGCTTTTATTTAACAGTCATAAAATAACTCTCAAACATTAAGCCAAATGAAAAGCTTATCTTGATGAATCCACTGACTCATCGCTTATTAGCATTTGGTAAATTGCTTTTGCAACTTTCACGTTCATTGTATTATAATAAATAAGGCTTATACTCTGTTATAAGATTGGCTAATACAATATTTAAATACATCACTACTGTATATGTAATGTAATGAATCGTATGTAAAATGAAAAATGTAATCGAAAATACAGTTACTTTTACAAAAATGCTAACTAGAATATTTAATAATAATAATATATCTTTATTCAGGTACAAACGTACATGTTACAAATATGTCATTAAACAATAATAATAATACGAATCATTTAACATTACTCTTTATTTGCGGTTGCTGTCAGCGTGCACTTTTGCCCAGTTCCTTAAAATGGGATTGCTTAGGTACTCGGAGAAAGTTTCCACTATGTGATTCATTGATGTGTTGACGCGACTCCAAATATATGCGACCGTCGATCTTATGATCGCGTAAAAGTCCGATACCCTTGCTTCAGCGAACATGCCGGATGCACTACAAAATTTTGGAAGCCCTATTAAAATACGAAAGGCATCATTATATCCATAACGCATTACATGACCTTCGAGTAAACTTACCAATCCAAACCAAATTATCAAGCAATTTACTTTCTTGTCTATAAAACTGCTATCAATCAATTATAGAACACAACCACTTATGACAGCATTAGAACTGGTTACAATGATATAATGAGTAGAAAACTAGTTTTTAATGACCTCGTTTGTATGTTTATCTTTTAATTTGTCTAATTTACTTTTAGGTAGAAATTCGGGCTTTACACTCGTCAGTATTAGGCCGACCGCACTGTTTCGCACTGAGCGCAGAGAACCGCGCTCCGCGTTATTTTGCCTGTGCCTCGCGAAAGGAGAGAGATAGATGGATATACAGGTAATAATAAAATCATAACTTCATTGGGTTACATAAGAAAGGTTGTACTAGTGAAGAATAAATTTGTATATATAAACACGCGTTTATATATATAAATTTAACCATAATTTCATTGTGTTTTATTATCAGGAGTCAAATCCACGACCTGTCTAAACTATTACAAGAAATCAGTCTTATATTTAATTCTTATATAGATAAACATAAGTTCAATTTAAAAGTTATTACGAATTAATAAGATTAACCTTTGATCTTTCGTTAGTTTACGACAAGCAGCACGACCAGAGGAAATGCGGACGAGGCGATGCGAGAGAACAGTGAAGCTTTGGCTACTAGAAGCGAAAGCTATCCCACCCAAGAAGCGCTATTATTGCGAAATATTATTGGATGATACATTGTACGCTAGGTGAGTCTTTGCCACTGGGAAAAGATATTTTTATCAGCATATATGTGGGTCATACAAGTAAATATATGATCTTGAAAATATAATCTTTAAGCATTTGAATACTATTGCATATAAGAGTATACTCTTGGAAGCAACTTAGTGCTAAATTATAATAAAGTGCACTTTTTATAATAAAACAATGATGAAAGTTATATTATACATATATCTATATGTTTTTTTGTGTTATTTTTACATTCGCAATTCATTAATTTTGTTATAAAAACCTGTTTTCTCCACGTGGGCGTTAAACGGAGACAAAAGTATGCATTTCTCTACTTAGTTCCCCTATTTGGTTAAATAGTTCGTCCTTCGTCCAGTTTTAGTTAAACTGGACGAAGTAAATTTTGTTAATTGTTATTTTTTTGCCATTGATGATCATGCACATTTATTATGAATCAATATCACAGTAAAATCACGAACCATTTCAAACATAACAATTTATTTGCAACGTAAAATTTCAGGTCGTCCTCAAAATTGAAGTCGGAATTATGTTTCTGGGGCGAAGTTTACGAATTCAGCGCGTTGCCTGCCGTGCGGGCGATACATGTGAACGTTTATCGGGAACCAGAGCGGCGCGCGCGCAAGCGGGACAAACATGCTCTTGTTGGTATGTACGAACACCGCTACAACGAACTAGTGAAACTACTAGAAAGTGTCTATTATTGAAACAGTTAGGTATAATAGGATAGTGTTGGAGATGTCTATTTTAAAACAGTTCATTAGGATTGTAGTTACTGTACATAATTTTATAATATGTACCGATGATAATAAAGGCAACAAGATCCTTAAAAGTCAAATACCGATTAGAAAAGGACTTTTGTCTAAGGTTCTATTAGTTCCCACTGGATTAGTACTACTAGTACTAACAATCTACTATTATAGAACAATAGTGATACTATATTGTTTATTTGATGTTTACTATGAAAGTAACTACATCCGTACGATTTAAAATTTAATAGTTCAATACTTGCAAGTCACAAGAGCTAGAAATACACAATAGAAGAGTTATATTATATATGTTTTAATTCACAGGCACAGTACGTATACCCGTCGATGACGTCTCATCTCGCTATCTCAACGAGCGTTGGTACCCGCTTAGTGAAGGCGATAAACCGCAATCTCCCGGCCGGACACCCACGCCAATACCCGCCTTACGTATCAAATGTCGTTACCAGTGCGTGGATGTACTACCGCTGGACTGCTATGCGCGATTCCTCGACTACCTGAAGAGGAACTATAGGCGGCTCTGTGAATATCTAGAGCCAGTTATTGGTAAGATTTTTGTGTGAATTAAGCCTTTTTAAAGTTTGCGAATCGGTATCTTAGCTAATATATACGCTACATTATTAGATGTTGGTTTTTATGTGCCTTCTATGCTATCCTACTTTTGCTGTGAAACAAAAAGTTTAATTTCTCCAATGTAAAAAATATATTACTATTTCTCTTTCACTGTTCTATAATAAATCCGACTCAAAGGACCAAATTTATTGTCTTAGGAAATGATAATTTCTTATTATTTTAGAACTTTAATGATTTGATATATTCTAAAATAACATTTCAGACTTATGCGAATTACTTTGTGTAACCTCGTTGCGGTGATAATGAAACCAAAATCAGGATATAATTACGTTTTGAAATATCACCTTGTAACCAAATGCCTTGTAGTCATTATACTATTGTCTCGCTTTCAATTGTTCGTTTGGGACACATTTTTGTAACCAAGGTTTTGCTAATATTCCCACAACAAGATTTACTGTTTTGTCTGCTTATTGAAAAAAGGAAGACAATTCTTCATCGTTATTAAAGATCATTAAAAAAAAAAAACTGTTAGTCGTATTGCTAATCGCATCCACAAAGTATGAAGATAAAGTTTCATTGTTGTAATCGTCATAAGTTATGTGAGTTCGATCTCCACCTAGTCTAACATTTTTCTAGACAATTTATAATCTTGAGACACTTGTTGGACTTTGTCTGAAAATCTGCATATAATTTAGGAATATCGAAATTCCATCTGCGTTACGAACCACCAACCACAGCTTCTAAATCTAAAATCTAAACATAATTTCTATTCTAGATAAAAAATCCGTAAAGTTCAGTCTGTGGATTTCCGAATATCTAAGGCCATAATAGGGCGACATCGCGTCTTTTAAGGGCGTAATTCACCTACCTTCTAGAGCACCTAATGCTTGCCTGTCTATCAGAAGAAAATAGTTTTGAAATTTTTATGCGAATATAATTTTCAGGTGTCAAAGCAAAGGAGGATATAGGCTGTGCTCTCGTACTATGTATGGCCGGTGCGGGCTTAGCTCCGCGGTACTTGGCAGATGTCGTGGCATTAGACGTACGAAGGACAGGCGACCACTCGTTAACCTTCAGAGGAAACTCACTGGCTACTAAGAGTATGGAAGCCTATTTGAAACTTGTTGGAGATCAGTACCTGCAGGTAAATTTGCATTTTTAAAACCAACGAAAGCAGTTAGTTTTAACATAACTTGCTTAAAGCTATTAGAATTTACTTGTTGAAAGTTGCATAGACAGAAAAGTAACAGCCAGGAGTAGAAAAAAATATCAAAAGTACTTCGGTTTCTCTACTCAGGTCTTTCTTGTGAATGAGGCAATCTATAAGCGATAATAATCATATTATCTTGTTAAGTGTCGTATAATTCATCTCTGCAATTTATACCAAGTGCTTTATTTTAATTTTGTGCCCTGCTTAACCGAATTATTTGATTCATTATCGCAATGGTAATGCTAGACAATGCATTGCACCATAGAGATAATAAGATATTTAAACGTCGCGCCGTAGTTAAAATAATTTTCAAATAAGTTTAAAAAATATTTTTCGTGTTTTAAACCGTTAAAGTGTTTTATTTAAATGTGTACTACAGACAGTATTTTATATTTAAACTGTTTAAAAATAAGTAAGATATTAAAAAAATCTCAGGTTAGACCCTCCTAGAAGTTTCTTATCTATAATTTTTATGTTACAGGACACACTAGGAGAGGCAGTTTGTGCAGCAGCTGGCCCGAGTGCTGTAGACTGTGAAGTAGACCCACTGCGGGCGGGTAGCGGTGCTGCCCTGCGTAGGCAACAGGCGGCCTTACGAGATGCTGTTACATTAGCTTGGCGCGCCATCGCTGCTTCAGCCCCTCGTTTCCCACCACCGTTGAGAGACTGCTTCGCTACTTTTAGAGAAAGGTGAGATAAATACTAGTTAATTTAACCAAATTAGAGCCACCATCAGGAGTTTTAAATAACTTACGTTATAGAAATGTCGAAATTTACTAATTAGAGTATTTACTCTAATTAGTAAATTTCGACATTTAGTAGAAAGAAGCTTTTAGCTAAGTTAGACAAACAAAAGCTTCGTATTTCATACCTATTACTTTATACCAATAATGCTTCCTTTTGTCCTGATATAAAACTAGAAAAATGGTAAACTCAACGAATTAAATGTGGTTCATTCTTAGTAAAGTTTGATTAACATTTACTTCCTTTCGACTTTTATTTTATTCTCTTAACTTCTTGAATTTTTGCCTTTATTGATTGTTTCTTTAATTTTCAGGTTAATTTCTATGGGCAGAGAAGATATATCAGATAACCTCATCAGTGCCTCGATATTTTTAAGATTTTTGTGTCCAGCTATACTATCTCCGAGTCTTTTTGGAATCACTCACGGTAAGGCTAACACACATTCGCTTCTATATAGAATATACATTTACTTGACTTAATCATATAAATAAACTTATAAGTAAAAAAAGTAGTTTAGTTAATTTATGTTTTTAAATTTTTACATATAAATTTAAAACTATTATTATTTATACTGTCTATAGTTTACGCGAGTAGTACACATTTAAATAAAACACTTTAACTGTTTAAAACGCGATATATTAGTTAAACTTATTTGAAAATGATTTTTAACTTCGGCCCGACGTTTCGGATGCTTTGCAGCATCCGAAAGTACGAAAACCCTTAAAGTGTTTTATTTAAATATTATTATTTATTCTATATGGTTGGGTTAAAGTCCTGTATCAACCTTTATTTTAGAATCTAAATTAAAAGTTTTTATTTCATTCCAGAATACCCGAATGAGCGTGCTGCACGTAACTTAACGCTGGTGGCGAAAACTTTGCAGACCTTAGCGAACTTCACTCGATTCCAAGGCAAAGAGGCCTTCATGGAGTTCCTCAACGATTTCTTAGAACAGGAGGCGCCCAACATGAAAGCCTTTTTGAGAGCTATATCGGTAATATATCACTGTTAAATAATTCACAAATCAGGTTTTTAGCTTTAAGAATGAAATTGGTTCTTCAAGCCGACATACCAACGCTGTTTTTTGTGTATATGTTAAAAAAACGTAACTTACAGACGCGACCGCAAGAACAGCAGCAGCAACTGCAGCAACAACAGCAGCCACAGGACAGCAAGCGCAATTCAGCTGCGTCACAAGGATCTACGGCGGGTTCTGAGTCCTCACCAATAGGAACTGTTGAAGCGGACCCAGAGTGGGCTCCACACGTGGACTTAGGCAAGCAACTTGCTACGCTCCATGGATTATTGGTTGATAGCTTGCCTAAATTACCGTCTGGAAGAATGCAGGTATGAAAACGTTATAGATAAGGATGATTTATGATAAGTTAATAAGGCTATAATAATTTCATATTGTCTTATGTACCGGCGTTATAAACTTTTTTAATAGTTAGGTTCGCATTTTTTTATAAAAGAGAATGGTTATAAAAGGGTATGGGGTCCATCTTATGTATATGTTAAATATTTAATAATGTACTTCTTATGTATATTACTGTTCATTTTCAGGAGCTCGATCCATTAAACGACATATTAGATGAACTAAGTAAGAAGTTAGTAAACAACGACATAGGACCAACTACACAAGTAACTGATAATATCTTTAGGTAAGATTCTACTTCTATTAACTGTCTTTGATTCATTTGTAAATAACTGTTACATACATATGTACATAATGCATTCAAAAAGATAATAAATACCAATTTATTGCTATAACATCGCTAGAATATAAATCCATGTGCTAATTGCTAATCGTAAATACATCTTAGTACATGCCTTAAGATAAATACTCATCTTTTCAGATTCAACGATCCGACATGCAACACACCAACAAAACAAAGTACAGAAAACGTTGTTTCCTCGAACGGTCCGCTTAACAGTAACTTTGCACATAGTTCACCTATTATGAACAAAAACGGAGTCCAATTCAATATAAGCCCATCGAAATCGAACGCAGAAGAGTCTAAGTACAAAGGATCTTTTGTCACTGTAACTAAATCGCCCAGCTTCAATCTACGCTCCGCGACGCTACCGCGTAACGGCTATGGCTCAAACGCGAACCAAAATGTCAATCCGGATAGATATAGCTCCCAATACAATAACCAAGAACACTGCGTCAACCTGAAGGTCGTGCAAATCGGTTTCGGTTCAGACCAATATCCGAAAGGCATCAGTAACGGATTAAACGAAAGCCTAGAACGACGATTCCAAGACAGATATAAACCCAACAATAATTTCAATCAACAACATTACCACAATTCGAATTATAACAGCACCGAACGATCTCCTAGTAGCGATAGCATCAACCATAATTACTGTTCAAATGAAATGCAGAATATTATGAAGGAAACTGCCACTCTGGATGAGCTGTCAGACCTCCTAAAGTACGCTGATGATTCAGACATCGTGGACGAAAAGATTATGAACAAGAAGAACATAGCTCAGTCTAAATCTAATAACAACATCGTGAACGGAAATAAGAATTACACAAATAACGGATCCAATGTATCCATAAGTGGCTTATCTAATGTCGCCAGCTCCGGTTATCAGAGCATCGCCACTTACAGCCAAAGTTCTAGTCCCATCGAGAACACCACGCATCATCACCAACCTTACGAAAACGGTGGACAGCCCCTAAGTCGGTTCTCGCAGCTGAATTACCAAAAACAGAGAGACAAACAGTATTACGATAGCAAAAACGAGAAATTCTATCCAAAGAGCCCAGTGCAACAGAAAATTGAATACGACCTGCAAAAGTACGGCATACAAAATTTCACGACGGCCGATAACGTACAAAATAATAAAAATTCAAATTCAAAAGTCGCTCCATTGGTATTCACTAATCCAGTTTACAACATGGAGGACAACAGACAATCGCAAGAGGTGAAGAAAAACAATGAGAACAGAAACTCCAAGCGGTGTCCATGTGGCTCATCCAGTTCATCCATAGATGAGGAGGGCTTGAGCACAGACAACGCGGAGACCAATTCTGAAGAGGGTTCCACCAACTTCAACGACGATGGTAGGAACTTTGACCAGCAGAATCGCAACAGCGCCCACCGAAAACTCGCCAGAGATAATTGTAATTATGAAGACGTATACCAGAGAAGCAACCACAGCAATTCACCTAGGATAAGAGACGACGAATCGTCGAGCAATTCTCCAAGTCTGCGCAAGAGTAAAACGCGGATGCCCAGAACGAACCCAATGCTCTCCTACTCGACAAACCAAAACCCACTTAACCTAAAACATTTTGGGCAGAGAGGAGAATCCTTATATGAGAGCAAGCCCCACCACATCTCTTCAGACTCTGGCTACCCTATGAGCCGTTCAGACTCTAACGTAGAAGAAGTGAATAAAGAGATGTACCGGTTGCAAATATCGCGGAGTCAAAAAGCGCTATTCAATATGGAGAACTCGAAAAATTCTCCGGAGAAATTCGTTAACGATAACGCTGCACCGGAGACTAATTATCCTTTGGATAGGGCATATTCGGGGGCCAAGATGTCAAGTAGTAGATTGAATGAGGATATGGAGAGGCATCAGGATTACTATGGAGGCAGGGAAAGGCGAGAGTCCCCTTCGCGTGTATTTAGTAGGGAGTCTCACTCTAGTGAAGCCAGTGAGCGGGTAGCTGTAAGAACAGAAAGGGAACTGCCAGCGAGGGACAAGTTACAACGGCGGCTGAGTTTGGAATCAGCGCGTGAACTCACAGATAGCTCAGATGAGCTAGACGAAACGTTGTACAGCACCACTGGACGAAGACGCACTAAACACCATAGGACTATAGAACAGGTAATTCAGAAATTTCTATAGATAACATAAATATGTTGTGTAAAATTTAATTTGCTGTGTGTAAAGATATATATTACTTTTATATGCGGTTGATATAATATACACGAATCTTCTAAATATATCTTTATAAATATTTTTTACAGTATGAACGTGAGATCGAACGATTAAAATGTTCGGTGGAACTGTTACGCGGCAGATTGGGTCCAACGGACTCCGGGCAAGACCACACAGACGCCAAAATGAAGGCTATTATTTCAAGGTACGAATCGAATTTAAATACATTTTATTTTCATTCAACCAAGTCAATATGATAATAGCACGTAAAAAAAAGAAAAAAACATATGTCTTACAGAAAACCATTTTAAATAAGTTTAAACGTCATGTTTATAAAATAAATTATTTAAATAAAACATTTTAATGGTTTAAAACGCGAAATGTGTTAGTTAAATTATTTAAACTTATTTGAAAACAATTTTAACTACGGTACAACGTTTCGGATGCTTTGAAGCAGCCGTGGTCACGGGGTGACTGAAAATTCTTACTCGCTACGAGTAAACTACAGATAGTATTGAATAAATTATTATTAGAATAATATAACTCTGTTCTTGTGGAGTTGAAATACGACGCATACCTTTTATGATATGTATATCTTTATTTTCTATTATTTTCAGGTTAATTTGCGTGGAAGATGAACTACGTCGCGAGCAGCGTAAAATGGCGGCCGCACTCTCCCACAAGCAGCGAGTGATAGAAGCGCAGGAGCATAGAATCGCCGCGCTAGACGAAGCCAATACTCGCCTGCTATCTGCTTTAGTACACCTCCAACAGAGGGCGCCACACTCCGCACCAACACACAACACAAGTAACACACACTCTCCGCACTCACACCAAGAACTGCAAATATGAAACTAGTAACTATGTATTAGAGTTCAATAAATTTTCGCTTCATTACACTACATAGAAACATCTCTTTTTAAATATAGACCTTTCTTATTAAGGTGATTCACTTTTGCAAACTGCTATTTGCGTTTACAATTAGTAAATACTGCTTTCAATATTTTAGGGCATTAATAAACAAAGATTTTTAAATATTCTTAAATATTGTCTCCTTAAATTTATGATTACTAGATTTTTCCTCGATTCTAAAATAATTTGCACAAATAAGCGAACAAACTTACATATTTTAATATGCATTTCTATTTCATGACATTCGTGTCTTTGTAGTTTTGATTATATTGTTATAATGTATTATTTTTCTTTAATCACAATTATTGTTTTGCCATTTTATGTTAACGTTGTTGCGTTAGTTTTAATGAAATATGCTTTAAATTGATTTGTTTCATCAGTATTCTGTATTTTATTTTGAGGCATAGCATGAGTTTTTACTACTTGATAACGAGTGAGTTTCGACTTGGAAGTCGTAGATTTCTCTCACGCTATCGAGTGAGAATTCGACTCAATTTTTTTTACAAAAGTGTCAATTTTTCTATAACAATGATACCAAAGAAGATGAATATCCCTAACCTAGAGTTTGATGGCGTATTCCGCGATTATATCATAATGTATTTTAACGTGTTATAGATTTTATAATATAAGACGTGTATGATAATAAGTAGAGTGTATGTTTGTCTCGGTAACGAATAGAAGAGAAATATTTTTAATACCCTCGAGTATTATGTATGTAGTGATTAGTGATTGAAAAATGAATTCCCGCATTTCGGAAATGCCCCAACAAATTATATAAATTTATTTGAATACGCAATCAATAAAATATCCAGCAACTTGGTTGTCTAACAGTGAAATTTTAATTTTAAGCCATAACTTTTGTAAAATACCTACATAGGTATATGATTATAATATACTTATCACATTAAATTATGAATTACAATTATCTTTTATTCATAGATTTTAATATCCTAGTAACTATTATGCATATTGAAATTTTTAAATTACCATATTCGTTGATCATTGGTATAAAATAATTAAAATAAAACATGATGAAACATGAAAACATTTTATTCGTCCGTTTCAATTCCAGCTGGCAAACAAATATACCTCTTTCTTGCCAAATTGAATTTACGTTCCAGAGTTTCTCTGGAACTGTACGGGTGCATTAATTGCACGTCTTCCATTCGAGAAAAGAGATAGGAAAAGTATATCTCACGAAACTTTTTGTCTGGAAATTGAGCCTGGTTCATGGTGGGCCACAGCATGTTATTGACGTCAGCAAGTGATCTGTACAAATGCAACTTGTATTTTTGTGTGAACTTTCGGAATTTATCGTTGAGACTCTGCTTGTGCACCCACGTTGTGAGACCTGAGTATAACGGGTCTCTAGGGACGTCCACGTGGCCATAACCTCTCGCGGCTAACGTTAAGAATGTTTGCCAATACACTGAACTCTGACGCAACATTTCCTTTCTCCCCTCCGGCGTGAACGGTCCAAAAATCCTGAATCGCATCCACTCCTTCAACTCTGGCACGAGGTGTACGTCCGGCAGTCTCGCCGCCACGTTGATCTTTCTCATGAGTCGTAAAGCACACTTCAAATAATCCTCCGGCTTTGGATTTTGCCCCAAACACGTAGCTGAAGATCGTTTAGTTTTCTTCTTCTTTTTATCTTTCTTTGCCAACAAGCCTGGATCGACACACAGAGCGCTATCTGTCTCCCAAATTCTTTTGAACTCCTTCTCAACGTGAAGATGCTTCTCGTCCAAATCGTAGATAGTTTCATAATTGAATTTGTGAGGACCATGACGCGTAGGTTTTTGGAAGAAGGGCACCTCTTCTGGTGCGAATGTTCCTTCGTTACCATAATCGAAGTGATGGCCACAGTGGCATTTTGTTTCTTTGACATAACTAAATATTGTTCCCTGCCATTTTTGGAGGCAGTCACAGGGTTGAGACTTGGCGGGTGGGGGGCGACCTTGAAAACCACAATGGATATTTATATACTCACCTCCTATGTATCTATAACCTCCGTGTATCAATTCACCCATAGCTGGCAATATAGTAACGTTGGCGAGAACGAACACTGACTTTCCATGAACTTTGTAGACGCCGGTGATCATGTACTGAGCGTTCCATATTCCAGTGTTGGGAGCATTAAGCTTTCTTCTTCGGCTGCCGCTTTGTTTCGGACGACTCATACTGATCCCGTACGTTTTTTTAACTTCGGTTACACTGAATTTTGAACCACCTCGCGACTTGTGGTGTCTGCTCGTTCGCGTCACGGTTTTCATGGTGACCGCGGTTATAGATGAATGAGGTTCAATATTCATGATTCCAGCTAGTTTATCGCAGTAGGACCGAGGTATTCTCTTCTTTGGTGGCGGCGGTGGCGGAGGTGGAGGGGGCGGTTTTGCTATCGGAGGTTCCTCCTCGTACGGCTCATTTAAATCTTCCAAATCTGGGAGAGGCTTTGGCTTAAAAGGTTTTCTCTTCGGCGGTGTATACAAAACGGCGATCATGTCCTGTAAATAGGGAGACTTTAATGGTGGTTTCGGCTTTGGCTTCGGTTTACGTTTCGGCTTTTTCTTTTCGGGATCCGCTTGAAATCTTTTTCTGAGTAGAGCTATTAGATTATCCAGTCCCAAGTACAGTATAGAGGATAGAATGAGCCTCGCGTTGAGGGAATAAGACATTTGCTTGCCATCGATGGGATGGCCGTAGATTGCGTAGAATAGTTGAGCGAGCATTTCTTTTGGATCTTTTCTACCAAGGTAGAGGCAGTTCATAAGATCGGTTTCATTAGGACGCGGGTACAGGCCTACTCTCCGCATTACATCGGCGCTGCGGACAGGTTTCCCCTCTAGCAGATCTTGGTAGATGCTGAACTCGAGAGAATCTAACGCCTCTCTCTGAGGAACGCTCAACGCTTGATACCAACGAGGACCTATTAATTCCCTAATTGTTCTTAGAATTTTCTTATCTCGCCGCTTCCGTATCTCTTTAAGCTCTTGCATAAACACTTGTCGCTCCTTTGTTTGTTTTGAGTAAATAACTTGGAGCTTGCGTTCAGCGCGCTCTTCATAACTGGTTTCGGGGCCATGGTTCCCGGCTACCATCCCGCTAGATTGCGTAAAGATTGTACAATAAATCAAAATTAATTATAACAACAATTTTGAAAAATAAATCACATAATATATAACCGCTTCATACAAAATATTTTGTCATTTTGGCATTTTATTTGTTTTTATGTCAACATTCTATATATCAATAAAGGTTTTAAGTATTACGATTTCACAAATCCTTCAGAGGGAACTTAACTTAAAGATATATTATTTTTTTTACACATTTATGACAAAATTATGTTACATTAAATACTGTCTATAGTTTACGCGAGTAGTACACATTTAAATAAAACACTTTAACGGACGGAGCCGTGGTCACGGCTGCTGCAAAGCATCCGAAACGTCGGGCCGAATTTAAAAATCATTTCCAAATAAGTTTAACTAATATATCGCGTTTTAAACCGTTAAAGTGTTTTATTTAAATATGTTACATTATTTAACACTTCTTATTTATTAAATTATTTTCACATAAATCACAAATGTTTTTATGAATCCATTTTAAAAACTTGTTACCTCAACAGTAATTTTAATAGTTCAGCTACTTACCGCTGTAGCGCTAGTTGACTCATACGAGCCGCATAAAAAATACTACATATACTGTAACCACAAAACAAAAGAAACGCAAATGTATTAAACGAAACAGGATAAATATAATATTTGCTGTCTATTCATGGGATCATGAAAGAAACATGCTAAAAAACGTCACCGCTTCCATAAATCACGACAAATTAACATGTAACGGTGTGTGATAGCTTCGTAACTATTTGTTAGTCATGCATACGTACGGGTGTGACGCGCGAAGATCAGCTGCTCGGAACTCGGCCGGTCCACGACCCCACGGGGGTGAACGCCCCCCGATCATCCATCACCTGAATAATTCCTCAACTCATTCATACGCTGGCGAATTCATCTTAATATTTAGCTTCTATACGTCGATCCGGAAACCATCAATCACGAAGGATGTCGCGAAAAGATAGCTAGACTTTCTGAATGCGCTATTATTCTACGGGACTACCGACTAATACTATCGCGTCTGTGAACTATATATTATAAAGTAACTGTAAGAAGTGCGCGTCGTCAATTTTTTTTATATATAATGTAAATAACAATAAAAAACGTTTAAGTGTTCAAAAAGCGAAATTAGTCAAACTTGTTAACAAAATATTTGAAATTGACCCCCGTGACCGAGGCTGGCGCAAAGCATCCGAAACGTCAGGCCGTGGTTAAAATAATTTATAAATAAATTTGCCTGATACATTTCGCATTTTATCCGTTAAATGTGTTTTATTACAACGATAAAAAAATATGTACGAGAAAATACATTATTTTCTTATTTAAAAGGAGAAATATATGTAAATTAACTGCAGAGAAGTAGACTGCCTGAAAAACTATCATTAAGTTACTGATACTATCTATATATGAAAATGCAAGAAGATTTGTATTTGTTAGAACCACATTTAAACAAAAAAAACCATAGCGTAGTAGGTTTATACTTTCGATTTAATATTCATAAACCGAAGAGTGAAATCGAAAGCCACTCTAAACTATTTATCACATTGTCGACAGTTAGATATGCGCGGGTAGTTTCTTTTGTTAGTTCGAGGTGGTTAGACAAATTAGTATTATCTATACAAATATATGTACTGCCTCTGTCGAGTGGTTCAAAATGGGGAAGTGGTATTTCTTTGTACCTAGAAATATTTGTTTTTAATGGTAGAGGAGGACAGACAAATAGTTATACTTGCTAATAGATCTATAAAAAATTGTGTTGCATGAAGACATAACTTAAGATGTTTCCAAAGAATATAGTTTATAATTACATCATGAATGTATAATCGAAATTTATTATCCACGTAAAGTTTAGATAATATTTTTCTTTTAAATATAATGTGACCACTTACCACGCATTTATAAAATAAGCTTATTCATATGCAATCCTGTCTTGTCCTGGATTCAAACGCCCAAAATCAGGCGAAATGTTAAATAAACAATTAAAGATAAGAAAAAATCTATAACTAGTAGAGTTTGAAAGTAGAAGGTGTCATTATTCCCGTGCACCGAAGTTATATCCACCATCCCATGCGACAGCATGGTAGGTCTTAGGTCTGTTTTGTGAGAATAATTATACACAGTTGTGGGACTTATGTGGGGCTGCAACAAGCTAACATTGATTAAAACATTGATTTAATACTGTCTGTAGTTTTCGCGAGTAGTACACATTTAAATAAAATACTTTAACTGTTTAAAACGCGATATGTTTTAGTTAAACTTGTTTCAATATTATTGTTGGCAGCCGTGGCTCCCCGTGGTCACTGGGAGACACGGCTGTTGCAAAGCATCCGAAACGTCGGGCCGTAGTTAAACATAATTTTCAAACAAGTTTAACTAAAATATATTGCGTTTTAAACCGTTAAGTGTTTTATTTAAACATTGATTTAAAGTTATAAAAGATCGTGTTTATGTAAAGGTTCATCGACCTAACTTTCTTCCATTTCTATCGAGGTAGCATCTAGCGTTGCCTAGGCAGGGCTAGTCACTGCACTAACGTTCACTTTCCACGTGTCAGGAAGTATCTGTGGCCACTTTCACTCCATTCAAGATCATAGCTCGTTCCGCCAGTTGATGTTCTTCACAATGGCTGGTAACTCAGATTACCTACTATTGAGTTTAGATTTGCAAAAAAGACAAACGCTAAAACTTCAAAAATAGGCTTTGAAGGTCTATCGCGAATTTATCGGTTAAAAATGTTATTGAATATTTTCTAATAAACTTTTAATATATTGTTTTTCGTTATTTTCCTTATAATATATAAAAAATACACGTAATTACACAAAAAAGTATTAAACGTGAGTTTAAAGTAAAAATCTATTTGGATTGAAAAAAATACGACACGGGCGGGATCTAATCTCTAACTTCGGCCGTGTCGTATTTTTTCATAGACTTTTCATTTATATAATTCCATCAATGTGTGAAATAAAAAATACACACGTGAAATATTATAAAGTTTTCAACCGTGAGATTGTTTGTATTTAATTTAATATTTGACTGATAACATTGAGATGAAGAAATGTTAATATGCCTTATTAAGCATATTGTAAACGAGTATACATTATAATATATTATATTACATTGCGCAAAAGGTGCATCTATCAATAGGTAAAAAAAATCGACGATGACGTGAAAATTCGGTAGCTCAATTGGATAAAGCACGGAACGTTGTGAATGCTGGTACTAGACCTGCCCGAGTCGTAAGTTTTTTCAATTTTTAATTGTGACTATACATTTATATGTTTAAGTTTTGGTATTGAAAAGAAATATGTTGATCTACATACAAATGTACTTTTGGCCATGCTAGTCTTAAGTATAACACAATACTTAATAAAAGAGATGTGACCTTTTATAAAGTTGAACCAAACATCACACGATTCGGTTCACTGCTTTCTTTCAGTGTTTTCAGGCGCCATTTCTCCAAAAGGTTCAATGACCGCGCTTATCTGTGTGTATGTGAGTGTATTTCTATTCTGTATTTACATACACTCGTGCGCAAGTTATTATGCAACGCCAACGAGGCGTAATATTGGAGTACATCAAAAATGTTTATTTATAGCGTCAAAGTTTTTTGTTAGCTTCAAGTGGACGCTTAGCTGCCGATTCTTTATCACTAAACAGCTGAAATAGCTTGAAGCATGAACCAAGAAGTTTTTGTTGGTTGAAGGTATCTTAACAGGTTACTTTGATATTATGAAATAACAGTTCTTTAGCAATTCAATGCATATATAAGTTTAATCGCGTTTCGGTATCAATCTGTAGATTTCTGAACATCCAAAACCAAGATTGGTCGACATTTTGTTTAGAATTTTTTATGGCTGGAGTGTTTTACCTATCACCAAATTAACTCTATGTTAGTCTGTCCTTCTCTATCATAAAAGAAATTTAGGTGGCTACGTAATTTCGCGAAAGATATGTTAAAAGCGTGATTAGGGTATGCTCACAAGCAAAAAATCGAACCTATATAAATGTATTGAGAGGAAGAGGAAATAAAAAACACGGACGATCCAACATCGTTCCTTAAAATATTTACTTGATTACGGCTGAGCATTTGAGAAACTTGAGCATTTGAGAAACTTGGCATAAACATCTAAGGTAACGCTTAGAAACGGCATTTATCTGACTCGCAAATCCTATCCCGGCAGGCAAAGAAGTTTTCGTGTCCGTTTACTAATATAATTATTTAAATTAACACATTAACGGTTAAAACGCGAAATATTGTAAATTATTTTAGCCGTGGTTACGAGGAGACTATCCGGTCGACCACGATCTGCTGTAAAGCATCCGCAACGTCGGGCTGTAGTTAAAATCATTTTCGAATAAGTAATAATAACAATATATTTCACTTTTTATTTATTAAATTTATATATATATTAAATTTTTATTTTTTTTATTTTAAACCGTTAAGGTGTTTTATTTAAATGTGTACTACTCGCATGAACTGGACTATATTTAATACGTAATCAGCCTTCTGTGCCCTGTCCGCCTGAAGCAATCCACCACGTTTCCTGGTGGTATGCACACGAACGAGGCTATCCACGTATCACTTTGCAGTGATGACGCGGCACTTTTTAAAAGTAACAGCACATGCTAATGTCATTAAAATCTATTGTGGTTTAATGGTACCTACAGACGTATAACAATAGTTCCTTAATTTACTGGTCTCGTCCTCTCTACGTATGGGCAACACGCCGCAACAGGTGGAACTTGTCAAGAACGACACGGAAATTAAAAAGAAAAGCCCAAGATTGTCCTTTTGACAAATAGACGGGGAGGGGCGATGCCCAAATATTGGGTGAACAACCTCTTAATGCTTAGAGGAGACATTTTATTTTTAACCAAACATATCTTTGTTTGAACGGAGTTGAAGAAGCTTTAATCGTGTGTACTATTAAATTGTTATAATTTTATACCAAATTAGCTAGGAGTGTATAGTAAATACACTAACATTTTGGTTTTATTAAAATTAATATAGGGGCTGAAAAGCACGTTTCTTTATATTTATCCTTTTAGTATCCTATATTACAGTTACTAATATTATAAAACGAATGAATTTATGTTTTTGCTTGTCCGAACACACCGCTAATCTCAGGAACTACTAGTTTGAATTGAAAAGTTGTTTTTGTAAACATTAGTATTTTTTACATATTGTTGCACATGAAGGCACTATATAGTTTAAAAATCGAAATAAATTGAAAAAAAATTTTCGACTCGGGCAAGACAAGTAAATTTTTTCGAGTCCTGGCCTTGGTTTTAAATTTATTTTCAATTTTCAAGTTATTTTTGTGTTGGATAGGCTATTTATCGTGGTAGGATTTAGGCTATATAACAATAGGCTGTGACCGAAAACAGTTGAAAATGAAGAAAAAGGGAAAATATATTATATGACTCACTTGCAACACCCGTTCCTATGGTAATTTGGTTGTAATCAATTCATTATTACGTAATCATTATTTGTTAGTTGTTGTTGTTGTAGAGTTGTATCAAAATAAACTAATCAGTGGAAAGAATACAGAAATGTGTGCGACGTGTGTCCAAAAAAGGGGGGAAACGGGATTTTACTTTTTTATCCATATTGTGCTAATAATGAACAAACTAAACAACGTTTACCGGATAGTTAGTAAATTCCAGGTGTCTAGCAATCTCAGATTTGAGACGTCGTAGTACATATTTTTTATAAATAGAAATCAAATTATATTATATAATAGTTAATTATAAAATTTGAAAAATGGTCAACTGTCAAAGTACTTACTTGCCTCACATTATATGTATATTTAAGAAACTGTTGCCAAAAATATCTTTACAACTTTTCTCTTTTTTATGTTGTACATGAAATAAATTTATCTTCAAACCCAATACAGTTATCTCTCTAGTAGGATCGATCGCTGAAACTTTCTGCGTCTCAAAAAACATTTATACTATTCGCTGAAAAGCACTCACAATTCGCAATATTTTAGAGGGCGATGATCTTGATGTATTTGAAACTATAAAAAGTTTTGAAGCTTTGTCTAACTTCAAATTAAGATTGCATACAAAATTAACTCTCCACGAAAACATGAGATTTTTTTTATGAGATGGTTTTAGCTTGACGCAGTGTTGATACTATCAGAAGAAAAATATAAGCAAAACATAATTTTTGTCTTTTCTTTCGGAGTAATTCTATACTTATAATGCCTAATATAATAATATATTAGAATTCATCGAACTGTTACTGCCTAGTATTTTAAGTTTATTACATGAGCTCTAGATACAGGGGACGCTTCAAAAAGCGACGATATATTATATAGTGAAATACTTGATGCGTAAATAAAAAAAATAATTTAATGAACTTTATCTGTAGTTAACACGAGAAGTACACATTTAAATAAAACACCTAACGGTTTAAAACGCGAAATGTTTGAATGATGAGTTAAAGTGCGGCCCGGCGTTTTGGACAATTTGCAGCAGAAGTGGACACAAACGGAACCCCCCCCACCCACCCCGTCGCACATTACGCGTTTTAAACTGTTTAAAGTGTTTTATATTATTTAAATAATGTGAAAGAGAAAAAAAGCCAGATAAAGCTCGATTATTTAATTATAATCTTACGTTCTTCGTGTATGACAAGCCTAAGAAGTTACCGGTATCTTTGCGTTCGTGACAATAGCTGGTACGATTATCAGTCTAATTATGGCAGGACGAGACCGGCAGCGAGTCAAGGGTACGTTCACTCGGTCCCAAGTTCAAAGGTCGTGGAGGTCACGGCTGAAAATGCTGAAACATACGAATTTCGGCAGCTCGTGGCCGTGAACCTTCGGCGGTCGATCGTAGAGTATTTATGCCTTTGCTAATATTTCCCGACTTTCCCAGGACCGTGGAAATTAAAATATTAAAACCATTTCTTTATATATAGGGCTCAATTCATTCTTGGATGGACTCGTTGGTAGTACTCATGTATAACATATAACTAACGTGATGAGTTTGATTTTACTGGGTCGAATATGTTTATAAATCTCTACGAGTATTTTAGACTTCTTTAGAGATAAAAAAGGATGTCAGGGCTGTCAAAATTCCATCCTCGACATGAACTAGTGTCCACACTCTAAAGCGAGCGCGCACTGTAATTAGAATAATATTTACCCTTTATGGAATCTCTCCAATGCCGTTTACCATAAACTAATTCATATATTAGGCATATTTTAATATGTCATATTGTACGTAAAAGAGTTATACAAATCTTTATTTCACACGACGGTTACAACTAATATCTTTAGATATTAGTTAGAGATCTCTTAGATTTAAATAAGTATTAAATTACCATATATTTTTATAAACAAGTGGGTCAATTACACAGTATTTCAAATCAGTGTTGCAGTACATGATCTTATAGTCACTTCTAATCTAAAGATATTAATAAAATCTACGAGATTTAAATAAGCAAGTAGAAACATTCGAATTGCCTGAATTGAAGACCTATACGAAAATATGCAAAGCTTGAATCATATCAAATGTCTTCAGTGGGAATAATGTAATTTCTTTTATATTTCCTACGTATAGTGCACTTTGTCGGCGTGTGTAAGAATTTGGTGTACGTGTGTGCGTGCAGGATCGCGTTACAGCTGAAACTGGGGGCGCCTGCCGAAAAGTGCGGTCGTCGACCCGGTCAGGAGCACGGCCATGTAGTGCGCTTAACAAGTTTTAGTCTTTTGTCTGACGGAATGTATGAACGAATTCAGTGTGGGGTTAATTAAACCAATTCTTTCTTGTTTCCTTTTTTTTCAAATTAAGAATCTGCAATGACGCAGGTGCAGCTGTTGAAGTTGACATGGCTGATTTAGGAGTGTTTAAGAATAACTTTAAATAGAAAACTCGTTTGTTGTTTTTTCTGAACGATTTGTTGTTTGATTATGATTACTGAATAATTGATTTCAATGTACGAAAGAAAAAAATACAAGTAGAATTCAACAAAGTAAAATAGACGAGAGCGAAGAGTTTAAAAACACACTAAATTTTGAGCGTTGTAGTATAATTAATCGAAAATTTTTTGCTATACATATATTGCTCCTTAGTTTTTCATATTTCCATAAGAACAATATCAACAAAGAGAACCGTCTAAAATCTATAATTCTATCAGTACAAAAAGAAATCACATCGCCACATATAAAAGTGACTTTATAAAAGTATTCGTACCAACTGTTATAAGCTCTGAAAATGATCTGCATTCATCGCATATTTCAAGTCACATTTCTCATAATCAATAAATTGATTCAATAAAAGTCGTACATCGTCCATAGCTATGCGGATGTCGGCTATTCAAGGCGGATCATCAAAGTATCAATAGTGTTCGAGTCACGCACACCGCTCGGTGATATATTTGGTGACATTGAACCGAGTCCATTGCCAACGACCTCGCTCCTCGGGGAAGCTCCGCGGTTTGCGTAATCGCTCCTGCGTACGTACGCACGCACACACGCGCAACCAGTCAATACAAACTGTAAAAAGGTTTTATATGCCGCGTATTAAGTCTTTGAGGATGGGGGTTTGATATAGGGTAACCTATTGTTCCCAAACGTATAAAGCCTCGTTTATTTCCTTTAAATTAACCCCAATTTTAAGAAAACAATTTGTTTAAAACGCGAAATATATTAGTTAAACTTGTTTACAATTTTTTTTGTAACTACGGCCCGACGTTCCCGATGCCTCGCTACAGCCGAGGTCACGGGGATACTAATATGTTTCTCGTTTTAAACCGTTGAAATGTTTTATTTAAATGTGTGACTAATTTTTAAACATAAAATGACCTTGCAAATAATATAATAGTGCATTCATGTAACAGTGTCAATGAACTTGTGACATCGGATATGATTATTAAATTGTAATTAAATTGGTATATTACTCATACTACTTTAATTACAATTAAAGTTGAGTAACTTAATAAACATTATCAACTTATCATCATACAAATAATAGTTACATATCCTTACGAACGAAGTCGGGTTAACATTATATATCATAAAAAACGGGACAAATATTAGTAGATTCTGATCATTGCATTTGTCCTCGGTCTAAATAGAAAATTAGACACATGGAGATTCCAATAATAAAAATACGTTTACCACATTACATTTTCTTATTACCTACCATGAAAAAAAATATCCTAAAATACCTTCAAATCTATAAATAAACCACTACGTTTTATTACAGATAATCAGAGTTCTATTTTCGTATCCGGGTAAACTTAGCTTTTATACATCTTTGATACTGCGTGGAGTCTTTGTGCGGCTTAAGAGCAAAGCTCTCATTGACGTGTTCGAGTTGAGAGGCCTCGGTCAACGTATCATAGACAAAGGGCTTCGCCTTTAATTAGTTTCTTTGCGAATAAGCTTGGATTCAACGTTCATCTCGAACGTGACCACCTTCTTACTGGTTCTCTACTATACTACAAACACAAGTCTGTCAAATAAAAAAGAGACCTCGATTACAACACATTAGGAATATTTGAAAACTTTTATATTCTTCCCCATGTTGGTATAATATAAATTTAAAATAATTATTTTCGTATGTTATTTTGTAATGTCATATTGTCTGATGTGTTTATTTATAATACATATTTGTATTAAGTGTCGAAAACAAATAAATATAAAACTGTTTTAATAGTTATATGTACAGAAATTTAAATGAATTATTTGTACAGAAAATGAAATAAATTCGTTTCTTCTGAGCTGTAATTTTTCATTTTCTCGAGATGTTTCTACTTTCATTAGACAAACTCTATATTTGTACACGTAAGGAGCTTTATATTATTTCTGTTTCTTTCTATTTGGCTAGTGTTATATAATTATTTAGTATAAGTGAAAGTATCGATGCAATAAGTCACATTCGATTGATGAAGTATCGAATGTAGACGGCTAAAGCTCCGATAGATTACACAGTTTACATTTGAACATTCTCATACGAACGATATGCCATTGTAAATTACACGTGCTTCGTAAATATTGACATTCGATGCATTGTCTTACTGACTAAGGTCAAAGACATTGCAGTTTTAATTGGACGCGTGAGCATAACCTGTTATGGATTAATCATTTGAACAGGGAGTTTCAGGGAATCCTCCATTAAAGTATAAACTTTATGGAAAGGGCAGTTATAACTTTGAATTTAAAAAACGGATAACTCAAACTTTCTAAAATTAGAATTTTCAAAAAGAACGATTTGAAAAAGAGACGTTCTAGATATGAATTCGTAATCTCCATCTAAGATAACGCTGCCGCTCTAACGACTAACGGGACTCGAATTGGCGATGGTGGAAAACTTAATGACAGCACGTGTGGTTGGCTCGTGTGAGGGAAGCACCGATTGAGGGTCCGATTCCCGGCGGAAGGGTCCCGGAGGAACGATCCAGGCGGGGTGTCGCGGCACTGTGCCGGTCAGTCACCGCTCCGCCGTTGCGTCGCGTTGTCGTGTCGTCGTGCTTCGAAGCGACACCTGCTCCAGTCCTGTGTTTATGTACTGCCGATACCACGTAAACTTGGATTTCTGAGGTGCCTCTGATTGTCTGTGTATTGTGAACGTTTATGTGTCAAGTGACGAGTGACTTGCATTCGTGGATTGTTTTTAGGGATTTTCTTAGTGATGCTGCGGACCACTGCACTTTCCTAAGAAGGCCAGGTAAGACATTTTTGATGTTTTTTTTTTAATAATTTAAATACATTAGCTATAAAAAATGCATACATATAACTTATAGTTACGTCATTAGTTTACAAATTAACAACACACAATTTAATGCAATAGAAAAACATAATTACAATTTACAAAGAAGCTGATACAAGTTCTGTAAAAAAAACTTACATGAGTAATTTAATTAAACGTTAAACGAGTGTAAGCATGGATCTAGAAAAATTCCCTGTCACTTTATGTAATGCTTGACCCTTTTAAGTATAGCGGTACATGTACGTATAAAAATCACCCTTAGTACATATTTTTATGTGGGTATATACAATAATCGGCCCTTCTGCCGAAAAAAAAATTCTTTAGAATCATTTTAATTATATCTGTAACGAATAAAAAACAAAGTATGTAGCGCATAAACATCGTTAGGTTTAGTGATTCTGAGTTTGAAATCTCGAAAAAGTTGTCTCTCTGGTCTCGAGAACAGGAGACTGATCAACAATTAAGTGATACAGAGCTACGTATCATTAAAACGGACATATTATTAATATTTTTATTTCATGGTCCATGGCTCAAAAGTTACTAATTTTACTATATATATTTTTCAAAGAAGCGGGCATTGTTTTTCACATGGCAGCTCTTGTGAGCTTATTTCCTGTAAATTGACCGTAATTATGTTTTTTCCTCAGATTCCGGCGCGTCTTATCTTCACTCCCCTCCTCCAGAGATGAAGGAAAAAGGCTGAACAGATACAGGCATCGTCAAATTATAACAATGTAAGTTGTATAATAATTTTCACCTACCCTTTCCGCTTTAATTATGAAATAATATATTTATTTTAATGTAAAATAAATAAGGTTTGGATTACAATGTTGTTTAAAATGTTTTACGCTATTCATAACTTTGTTTATTTCAATTAAAGAATTTAACTAACTGAACTGCTACTAACGCTATTATTGAAATTCGACTATACCAACAAATACAAGTAAAATAAATGAATGAGCTGAAAATTAATTATACACCTAGTTGTAATTAATGTTTTAAAATGTGTTATAAAAATTGGAGTTAAGTTTGATGTATGAAAACTGAGTTTATATATTTGTCTTGCAATCGAGCGATGATCTACGGATTAGGGAAGCTACAGGGGAAGGTTAGCTACGACCGTAGGCTATCGATCGGCGTGTCTAAGATGGCTCAAGATTTCGAGGAATTCGTCTTAGAACGTATCTCAGTATATTATTTAAAAAAAAAAATTCTTTCAGTACTTTATTTTAAATATAGACAGATATTCCTTCTTTATCCATACGGACATACACATATCTGGAATCAATACCGATAATATGCGTTCCTTATTTAAATATTTAACAACATACGATTCCTTACTTAAAAATAAATTCAACCAAATTACTGTATAATTAAAAAAAAAACTATTATCTCAAAAAACCGATCTATTCATATTCTAAAATTAAAAATTCTGGAAAATATCATAATGTAGGTACACTATAATTAACGTGCAATATTCTTGTAGTTGTGAAATTTTGGACGAGTATAATGACATCCGCCCTCGCACATAGCAGCGGAAGTGCTACGAAATTATCTAGAACATTGTCCTGTCAAAAGATTTATTTTTCATTGCACGAGTGTAAATGTGTATTTTTTTATTAATGATGAATAGGTGTAAGTCAAAAAGTTATGACTCCTAATGTTTGAATAGAGTAGGACACATTTATATAAAACACTTTAACCGTTATAACGCGATATAATATTTTAGTTAAACCTATTTGAATATTATTTTAACTACGGTCCGACGTTTTGGATGCTTTGCAGCAGCCGTGGTCACAGGGAGACTGGAGGTTGCTGCAAAGCATCTGAAACGTCGGACCGTAGTTAAAATAATTTTGAAATAAGTGTAACTGAAATATATCGCGTTTTAAACCGTTAAAGTATTTTATTTAAATGCCTAATGGTTTATTTTTAAAATAAGAATGTGTGTCAAAACTCGGATTTTAAGTCTATGTCTTGTTTAGATTATGTTAACAATATATAAAAGAGAAAAACATAATCCCTTATAATCCAATCGAGTAAATATAACTAAAAGTGAAACGCATTGATGTAATCGCGCTCTCGTTTTAGATATTATTCAAGCCATAAATGAGCATTAAACAAAATGATTCCGCGAACCATTATATTTATGAGGGAAGCTATTTTGCTCCCTATTGCAAAAGGGTTAGAGTTTAGTACAGTTTTAATGATTGTGCCGTATTGTGGCGGTCATAATGCACGCGGTTGTAGTTTACGAGGTCTTTCACCCTCATTATATAGGTCAGTTAGATTAGCAATGTTCCTTCAGCGATTGCTTGCATCTTTTAAGGCGTGGTTAGGCCTTGGACACACGATACAGTGAAAGTGCATTTGCTCACTTTTATTGTCTGTGCGATTTAATAGTACACTTTATCCGCTATACACACAGTTACAACAAATTATGCATTTATGTAATAGTGTTTTTAAAATAGAAATACATTAAATGTTTTCTCTAAATTTCATAAATTTAAAAGTCGAATAAAAAAAATCCTTTTATAAAATTGTTATTAATTACGCATTTAACTTTTCTTTTATATATCCTATATCTAATTTCATAGCATCGTTGTGCTTGCCTTTAATTTAATTACATAATCGTTACATAAATTGCATTAAATTGTTTTTTTAGATTAAGCTTTTATTATGTAAGCCTCTTTGAAATAAATAAATAAATTTCATCGTACACAAATCGTAAATATCATTTAAATAATAGGAAACAATTTATTATGCCCTAGTACGCCCCGACTTCCATAATTTCTAAGCGATCCTAAAAAATCCCTTCAGATATAAAAACGTGACCTGCGCGCAGAATTGAAAGTGCATTTGGTTGATATGGTAGTAACGTTTTACCACCTTCATGGTTTAATTTTTGCATACATAGGTAATCATTTTATTAAGTGAAAGGGATCCTGAGTGAAAGAGACAAGACATGCTACCCTATGCCCCATATAGGAGATTCCACACTATTTAATGCTTAAGTTAGTAATTTTTAAATCAGTCCGCTGGAAGCTCAACCAGAACTGTGCACATAAAATGCTGGTTTCTGCCGGTCTTTTGACCTACATTATAAAAGCTATGAACGTAAAGTTAACACTATCGCGATAATATTTATTCACTTGACTGCAATTAATTATTTACTATGTTATATACGATAAGACTTAACTCTAATTACTATTTATAACTATGATTCTTATAAATATGTTATAATTAGCTCCAATAAATGAAAGGATTTTTAATTATATAAAGTAATAATGAGTAAATGATAACGGTTTTATCTCAATAAGTTAATTTTTCAGTATAAACATTTTCTGTATGTATATAAAATAAGGGTCTAAAACCGTAAGTATAAAAAAATGTCTGTCTATACATACATGCAAAATTTGTTGATGTATCCATGGTGAAAATTAATAGGCCTCGTGTTCAAGTTAAGTTCGACTAAATTTTAAATTATCTTTATAAACGCATCTCCATTGCATCGTCCAAAAAACAAAGTGTTATTAAATGAATAATATATTAAAGGGATACTAGCGTTCAAGTATATTATTATACATTTTTGAAAGGTAAGTAAATGTTGACATCGAAAACTAATAAAAACCTTTTTAAACAGATTCCTAAGAAAAGTTTATAATAAATAAACTTATAGCAAATATTATTTGGCTATTCACACAATTGAGCGCTTCGAGCCAACGGCCTGTAACACTTTTGTAGAGGGTTGATTTATAGCTTAACAGCTAGCTGAAGGTTTTAAAGCCTACAGAATAGCCCGCCCCAGTTTCGGGGGGTCACCGCCCGATCGTGAACTCCGCAACATTCGATCGTTCTGCGCCATATTTCAACACGGGCTCAGGTTCCCGAAAAAATACATAAAATATGTAACCAGGAACAGAAACCGTTTATAACGGGATACTCTGTAACTGTCTTTTATAAAACCTTTTTAGGCAAAAGAGTACGACACTTTAAGAATACTTATGTATAGAAGATTCTGTACACAACATTTGGGCTTTCATCTGTTTAAATTTGAAAGCTTATTCTAAGTTTAATTTAATAGAGAACTTATGTTTCTTTTGAGCATTAAATTTGTATATAAACTATTATTCGTTTAATAGTTAATGCCTTCTAGGTTTTAGAAACAAATCATGTTAAGACCTTTAGCAGCTGGCTTCTCATTATACTATGATATAGTTGATAGTTGGGCTTATGATGTAGTACTACAACATCTTGAATTAAACTTAAATTGTATGTCCACTATAAATGACGGGCTCGTTTGCGTAATGGTAGCAATGCATGGTTAATAATTAATGTGTCGCGGGATCGATCCCCGGCTAAGTCAATCATTTTTATTATCAATTTTATGTAAAATTTTTGACTTCGCCTGAAATATTTCCAGACGAAGACGGCGTCCTGGTTAAGAAATTCGGCGTTTCGGTTTTAAGTCTGTGGATTTCCGAATATCCAAATTTAAAATAGATCTTGTTCAAATGTTATATGACTGGAGTTATTTCATCTACCATTAATAAAATCCCATGCTTATCTGCCTTACTACTTTATAAAATGTGAACCCATGTGTATAATTACTACCCGAAAAAGTATATTTTGTCTAGATGACACGAAATCCAAGCCCGAGGGTAAATATAACTGTTAAAAATATTAACTCTTGTTAAATATCGACGAGTCATTCGGGTGCATATAATTTTGTAAATTATACTTATGAAATTCGTATAATTATGAGAGTTTTTTGCTCCGATCCAAAGTCAATGTCCCTTAAAGGTAAATAGGTCAA